GGAAGGTATAGTACTGAATTTTCTAAGGAATACATTGTAGACACATGAAAAAACTACCGTGAATTATATCGCTAACATGTACGAGTTTTTGTATACATAATGTGTCATTTGCACTTTCGTGTCGCTTCACCGAACTTATTCTCGTTAGATAATGTCACCATTGTCACGATTATTAAACTATGGTGTTTGACGCTACCCTCGACTTTACTTGTCGTTATTATCGTGCCAAATAACGTCAAGCATATTTTTGAAGTGGTAATGCCAATCTCTACACTATTGTTTGTGATGATATTAAGAATGCATTTTATGATCACTTGGAATTTTACTTACTTTTAGGGGTACTACTTTTTCTTCAGAGTTTTTGGTTCTGTGAAAACTGACAGCTATAACAGTTCGCAATTTAAAAAAAAAAAAAAAGCTACAGTCTTATGTTAGGAATCAAAACTCCTATAAGCAAGAGAGGGAACAAGAAAGACAAGAAAAAACAAGTCACAGGAGACAGATTTTTAGGTGATTCTGCATTATTTATCCGACAATCCAAGTTAGGAGTTTTCTAGCATTGAACCACCACTTGGACAATTCAGGGCACACTTTTTCCTACATCACGTTAATGATAACAGCACTACTTCATACAATCAATTTCATGAGACTGTACAAATTTAGTGATCAGCTAATGATCCCTTCCTTAAGTAGGTGTATTCATATATGCATACGAATGTAAGATGCTACATAATTGTCATGTTAAGGTTGCAGCAAGAAACAACACCATACCACCATACCATTTCTATCTCCCAAATGAGAGAGTTATAAGCATGTCAAAAAAAAGAATAAAAATTTCATGCAATGATCTTACTCTGTACATGATCTCAAATTGTACATAAATACAATTGATATTTGACGCGTTACAATCATCATTTACAATTTCATTGAAAAGTTAGCAAACTCTTTTGTGAGCTTAACCAGTAGAAATCAATCTCTTCCCAGAGAGTAAGTAGAAGTACAACAGTTCATTCCAGGTATCAGGAACTCCGGGAAGGCACCAATGGCTGCAATCTTCAATCCGCGATGGCTTTCCATTTTCAGGCTTCCTTCCAAAGACCGATGGGTGACCATCAATCCTAAACCCAGACAAGCTGGTTATGTTAAGAACTGTAACAGGAGTTCTCATTTGTTTCACTACTTCCTCTACGATGAGATTCTTTTCAGGAGCATTCCTTGTGTGAGTATAATTCAGAGGTTGAGTGCTCTCTCTGCAGTGCCCGCCAGCATTCCATTCACCCCCACTACATCAAAAGCAAAGTTTATAACAAATGAGAAGACCAGATAAAGGAGTTTTTTTTTTTCCGGTTTCAATTGTAACCTGAAATGAGATGGTGCTGAGCTTCTGAAGAAGACTTGGGTTTTGGTTGGATTTATGTATTTGTCAACCCATGATGCCCATGTTACTAAAGCTCTCTTGTAAGCAATGTTAGCATCGAGGTGAGAATGGACATAGTCTCCTTCCTGATAGTAGTTTAACCTGTGGAGGAGGTGGAGAAGGTTTTCAGATGTCAAAGAGCAAAAAAATACGGCATCCCTCGGTTATGAACTAACTAAAAATATATACTACACTATCAACCAAGAAAAATCCTATTAGAAGAGGAGGTCAAGTATGTTTGACAGAGAGAAATTCTTCTACACTGGTTTTTCTCTAAGGGTCAACCATGTATAAGTTCATCTATAATGCATATCGAAGTGTAGCTCTGCCTGACATAGTTTTAAACCTAAGCAACCAAGGGACAACCCCTGAATTTTCCTCTGTCACCATAGAGTCTAGAGGTGAAAAGGATGGCAAAGGTTTGGTTTCAGGAATATACCCTGTTTTGTCTTACATTAGCAAAACTTATCAAAACAATGAGAACGCAATTATTTAAAAGATGAGAAATCCCCTAAATACATCTAAAATATGGAGCCAGATATTACACGCCACAGACAATATGGAAGAATGATTAATGAATAATGCGATGATAATTGCATTCTCATGTTTCTTCTCAATCACACTTCAAATTATCATCTAGCTTTTACCGATATATGTTGAATTAGTTGTGCAAACCAACATTCAGTTTTAACACTGCAAGGCTCTCCAAAAATTTATCTTCCACAGCGTCTCGGTTATGGTTGATAGCCAACTGTAAAAATTAAAACCAACCCACATATGAAGTTTCTCAGTTGGATTGTGCTGACTGCTAAGGGCGTCACGATTTGCTTCTTAAAGTACAAACCTATCATTTAGCCTTGTAAGAGGAAATTTATGAAAGAATCAAATCACTAATGTGATTTAGGACAGACCTATCAAACTCAAGTTAGTAGGGCTGAGCACTATTTTCAAGTTCCTATCATGAAATTAAATTTTATTTTTCAGAGATTTATAATCTTCCTTGTCTTCTATAAATTTCAGATAATACCAAAACTTGTTTTTAAACAGGTACTAGAGCTTGAAGCCATGTAATTTCGCAAACCATGTTGTACTCTTCAGAACTTCAAAAGCTTGATATCTCAACAAAAGCACTAACCCAGCTTTAGTTTTGTAGTGTGACCACCAATGTGCACTGTTGAATACCAAGATATCGGCTCCTCTCCATCTTGATGAGCTCCGATCGATCGCATCAATTCTGAGTGTCTGTTTACGTTTTTGCCCGATTCTAGCTTTGCTCTCACGAACCAAGAAATGACTCAGATAGTACTCAACACTACATTGGTAATCCTGCAGCATGAATCCTCAAGGCTCACCATCAAATAACTTCTAATCAGGTTAATATAAAAACACTACTGTCAAACACATACAATGAACTTGAAGTTATAATTTCCCCGCTCTTTGGTAATCCTCCGGCCACGTGCCTCATAAACCCTGCTAGGATCTGAAATGGCTCCTCTTAACATGCACAACATTGACTCCCACTGGTTCCTGTTAATCGAATCTCCAACAAAAACCAATCTTTTTCCTCTGATCAACTCCAGCATTTTCAAAGGGCTGAATCTGAATCAAATCAAACATTGGACAGATAAATACAAGAAATTTCTAGTAAATAAGGATCTAAATGATGTATTGAATACCTAGGGATGTTACATTGATGAGGCTGCCACCTCCACTTCATATAGTCTCCGTCCAATCTCCCATTAGCTTCACAACTGAATCCTTCATCAATGAAAGGGCATGAGTTGTTTGTGTAGAGAGGATAAGTCTCATCAAACACCCACTTTCCCTCAGAAACATCACATGCACTTTCCCTTTCGATCTCCTCGACAGTAGCAGAGCTCACATTGCTCATCAAATTAATAGACTGAAATTTCTCATCGCTTAATTTGGGAACATCAGAATCAAACGTCTTCTCCTCTCCAACTGAATCTAGACCTTTTTCAGAAGAATTACGGTCTCTCCTGAGATGGGTATGATTCAAAATGGAATCTTTCTCTCCAACTGAACTCAGAACTTCTCCATAAGAATCGACACTTGTCCTCACCTGGGCATATCCCAAGATCCCATCTTTCAGCTCATCGCTTAAACCCAGAGCTCTCTCAGTGGAATCAGCAGCTTCGGCAAAATTGTTTCCTCCCAAGATTGGATCTTCGCTCTTGCTGACAGAGATATTGCTGGGAAAATCTGAAAACTCCTCAACTTCGCTGGATTCGAGTTCACCGTTCCACTCATTACGTGGACTCAAAGCTTCCCGAGGAGAATCAGCAGCTTGGAGAAAATGGGTTCCTCTCGAAGTCGAACCTTTTCTCCCATTGACAGAGAAATTGCCGGTGAAAGCAATAAAGGTCTGAGCTTTGATGGCACTGAAGCCGGAGAAGGACCGGAGGTTGGTTTCGTTGGAGCTAGCTGAGGGTGTGATTTTGAAAACCCAGGAGGAGAAGAGGAAGGAGAAGAGGAGAGAGAAAGAGACGGTGAGAGAAAGAAGGAAGAGCCTTGTGGGTTTGATGATGAAGCTTCTCTGCCTCTCCATGGCATGAAGAATAGTATTCCAAGAGAGGAAAGAGAGGGGAAGGATTCATCAGGGGTCGTCACAGAGGAAGAGCATGTGCAGCTCTCATTAAAATACGCAATGAGATGGGAAGAGAGAGAGAGAGAGAGAGAGAGAGCGAGAGGACAAAGGTGATCGTGCAAAATACAAGTGGAGTGGGTTTTATGGAGTGAGTGGGTGGTTGTTTATCTGATCCGGGGTCAATAAAAGTCCGTAACCCATTTCTTCTCCTGTGGTGCGGTCACGGCGAGCGTGAGTGCAGTAAACTGCAGTTGTTGCTTCCCTGGCGCTTTGTTCGAACTTGTTTAGACAAAGAGTGGTGATAGGGGCACACCCCCAACCACACCCTCTACCACACCTCCTCCCCCTCTATAGTGCATTGGGCCCAATATCAAATTTTTTTAAAAATTTTGATGTGGGGCCCAATGCACTATAGAGTGAGAGGAGGTGTGGTGGAGGATGTGGTTGGGGGTGTGCCCCTAATATTTCTATTAGACAAAATAATCAGTTTCCTTTTGAAGTTTTCTCGCTTAAACCAGGAGCTTTATTCTGATTTATTTTCACATCCAAATGCTTTAGTTGTACCTATAAGTCCAAACAATTTTGTATATTTGTCTTTGTATTCACTTTCCCAAATATACCACATAACAATGCTGTCCGCCCAATTTTATCCCCCCGCCCCCCTCTCTCTTCAATTTGGGGTTCTTCATGAGGTTAAAAAAACAGCCCGCTAAAAGAATTTAGAATTTACAGAAAATTCCATAAAAAAATTTGCATAAACTACACTATTAAAATTTATAAAAAAGCCCTAAAATTTTCAAAGTACACTAAAAAATAGGAATATTTAATATCCCCAAAAATCTTTAGAATTTATAAAAAACACCCTAAATTTTTCAAAAATTACAAAAAACCGTCAAGATTTGAAATTTACAAAAACACTAAAAAAATATCAAAACTTAAAAATAGGTATTTTTGTAAGTTTTTGTAATTTTTTATCTTTGTAGGATGTTTTTTGTACTTTTTAGGGTGTTTTTTTACATTTGTTGAAACCTTTAGGGCGTCTTCTGTAAATCACAAATTTTCAAGGGTATGTTTGTACTTCCTAAATTTTTTTTGTACACTATTTGTTGGTTTGAAATCTGTAGGTGTTTTTTTTATAAATTTTGCATTTTATAGTTTGTTATTTATAAAATGTTTATGGTGTTTTTACAAATTCTAAAAAAACTAGGTGAGTATGTTTAGGGGCGGGGGGGGGGAGGAGAGAAGTTTTGAATGTGTCATCTTGGGTTTTTTTGCCCCATAAAATTACGCAATAACCTACTTTGATCTTGAATTATACCAATTGGGTTAAAAAAACAAAATACACAAACTTGTTTGGGTTTAGAGATACAGATGATAGTATCTGGATTTATAAATAAATCAGAGTAAAACTTGGGGTTCAAAGGCAAAATCCCCTTTGCTTTCTAAAGCATTGATGTACTCTCAAGTTGTCTTCTAAAAAATTAATTTATATATTAAACTTTTTAAATTATGTTTATGATTTCAACATGGTCATTTTGTGAATTTATAGTCAACTATTTAACAGATTAATAATAACCTAACAAATTTTTTGTATTTCTTCATGGGGTTTTATCAGTTTATCTCCTTTTTCAAAACTAAAAAATAATTTTTTAACTACATTTTTACAAAGCTTTTTACCATTCAACCCTTTTATTAATTAAAAATTTTATTTTTTAGATTGCAAAAAATAAAAGAAATAAAAAAAAATTATTACATCATTAGTTTATTAAATATTTGACTGTAGACTCACAAAATGATCATATTAGACATATTCACATAGTGTTTTTTTTTGGTGTGGGGGGGGGTGGTGGGGGAGGGAGGAATAGGTAAATTAATACTTTAAAAGATAATTTGAGAGTACACTTATACTTTAAGAGGTAAATGATCATTTTGTGTTGTAGGCTGTCTAAAAATCACAATAGATAGCTGATCTCTCATCAAACACCGATGATGAATGTTACAATCTGACGACTTCCAGAAGGTTACGATTTGAAGATTTTCACGTAGATCGATGAAGGTTATAATCTGACGACCTTCACGACAACCGATGAAAGCTCTAATCAATAGCTTTCACAATCAATATCGGGAGTTACAATTTAACGATTCTCATATTTTCAAGGAGCCAAGATGAAGATTACAAGATGGTGATCTTTGCAAGGCTCTAGCAAAAGAGACTACAAATCGACGGTCTCTTCAAATTTAGACGCGGAGCTCACCTATGCGTCCCAGATGCAAAACGCATAGCTCGTGGCCGCGTTCCAAACTCCCAGAACAAAACGCGGAGGTCCTCCCCGTGTGTCAACACCAAAACGCGGAGGTCCTCCTCGTGTGTCAGCAACAAAACGCTGGAGTTGGACCTGCGTTGCAACATCAAAACGCGGGGGTCAGACCTGCGTTTTTTGTGTTTGACTGGTTCAAACAGAACCTATACGGTTTTAAAACCGTATCTCCACTTAATGGGGTCGGTTACACCTCATTATGGAGAGATTTTAGGGAGGATTACACCCCTTAAACTCTTGAACGGTTCCAAAACTGTTTCCCACAATTTGGGGGCTGTTACACCCCACTTAGGAGTAATTTAAGGGGCGGTTACACCCCCTTAATCCCCTATAAATAAAAAGAAACTCAACTGAGTTAAGGGTTAGAACTTCTTGGCTCAGATTGACCTTGGAGCTTGGCAGCAAAGAGAGGATCTTTGAAGCATTCTCGGATCTGGAGATCAACCACCGGAGCTTTCTTCTGGCCTTGGCTTACTAACCGATTTTCAATTCAAATCAACTCTTTTACAGAGTTCTTCTAAACTCATTCAGAGTTCTAAAAATTGCTTTGCAAGTTCTCCACATCGTCAAACCGTGAGGAGAATACATCGTTCCAGTGAAGAAAAGCTTCGGATCGTCAACGGAGAGCAAACTCGACACGAGCATTTGAGGGAGGCACTCCATCGCCATCGTGAAGAACCCAGAATTAAACAAAGAAAAGAATCCAGATCATTCTCTTCTCTTTTGTAATCAGGAAATCTAATTGTAACTGAGATTAAAGGAATACAATTTAAATTTCCTTCATTTCTTTTTACTGCAAATTTTCCACCAAACATGTGTATATGTAGCTATAACTCTAGAAAGGGTTAATTGGGGTTAGAGCTCCGTAGTGAATTTTACAATCTTTCAAAAGAGTAGAAGAGTTTTGAGGAAGTGGATAAATTCATGTAGTTTTATTGGTGAGGATAGACTTTATAGACTTTACTCTTAAAAGAATTGAATAAGTTCACTTAGCACTTGCGTAAACAAAACAGGGTATCTATTCGCATTAATAGAATTACAAGGAGTATCTTAATTGTGTGACAGTTAAAGGGGTCCTATCCACCCACAATTTTTTATTGTCAATAAGGTATCAAAGATTTATCCAAGAGGGTCTAGCTGAGTTGGTAAGCTGTCTATGAGCTTCAACTCTTATAGGGGGCACTGACACGAAATTAGTTTAGCGGAATATTCTAGGCTATGCGTTAGGAAAGATGCCCCTTAGCTACGCCCAGGGGTTTGAAACCCTTGGTCCGAAGATCATGAGGAAGTTCCCTTGCCAAACCAAATAATAATAATAATAATAATATCAAAGATTTAAGGGTTTTTCACGAGAACCACCTTATGGACAAACAAAATTGATGGAAACCATCTTTTGTTTTTTAATACTATAAAATAACTTTTTATGTGTTTTTTCCTATCAATTGACCAATTTTGGTCACTAGCTCTCTAATAAATGCCTGAAGTACACAAAATGCCCTTAAGCTCCACATGCGTATTTCTAGGCTTAATTTAATTTAGGATCTCCCTACCCTCTCTCTCCACGCTAAAAGCCTAAATCCCTAACCTCATGGTCATTCACCAACCTTTCATTCCTCTTTTCCCTTAATTTTGGGCTCAGTATTGAATCTTTGCGGTCCACTTCAAAGATGGTCAAATTTTCAATGGGTTTTAAAGATTTATTTTCCTCCGTCTCTAATTTATTCAAATTTTCAATGGGTTTACTGTGAGGAAGAGGGAGCTTTTAATTTAGGGTTTAGGGTGAGGAAGAGTGAATATCTAATTTAGGGTTTCATTTGATTAACGAAAGGGAAAATAGAGGAGAAAAAGAGAAAATAGTAAAAAAAATTAATTAATGCTCCGTTTGGATACCATGGTGTTTTACTTGTTTGCTTGATGTTTTTATCAAAAACAAAACACCATGCGTTTGGAAACGACTAAAATACCAAATTGGTATATTTATACGAACGCTTTTGCCAGTTTGGTATTTATAAAAACTCCGGCGACGACAAGACATTAAAGCTTGACCTTTTTGTCAATAAGATTTTTTCTCAAAACTCCGGCAATAAATTTTGTTTAAACCCCTTACCTCCTAAAATTATTAAATTTGTACCCTCCCTCCCTCTCCTCCTCCTCCTCCTCCTCCTCTCCCATTCCCCTCTCCCTCCAGCGCACAATCGTCCTCCTCCTCCTCTCCTCCGTCCCCATCTCCCTCCTCTGGGTCAACCTCAGCCCCCTCATCCCCTCCCTCCCTCCCTCCCTCCCTCCCCTCCCTCCCTCCCTCCCCTCCTCCTCCTCCTCCTCTCCCATTCCCCTCTCCTCCCTCTCCTCCTTCTCCTCATCCTCCTATCCTATTCAGATTTTTTTGCACTTCAGATTTTTTTGCACCATTCCAGCTTGAATAGGTAGCTCCACTGCAGCTAATGTAGTGAGGGGTGTATATTCAGATGGCTTAACAACCACCGTGCACCCACAAGCCAAGGCAGGGCCGACCTGTTGGAGACAATACCTTAGTTAACGAACATAATCATCAGTAAGGACAGTCTTAATTATGTGAATATTTAAGCAGCTCCATTAACTGTTTTAAATTTTAACCTTTCATGTAATCATGGCCAAAGGAAAGTTCCACGGGGTAATTGTTGCAACCACTCCAACAGGCTACACTAGAGATAAAAAAAATAAGGAGGGGAATGAAGGGAATGGGATAGAAGGAGGAGGAGGAGGAGGAGGAGGAGGAGGAGAGGGAGGGGGCGGGGCCTAGGTTGACCCAGAGGAGGGAGATGGGGACGGAGGAG